TTTTGGATGTGCGATCAGCAACATGCATAACCTAACACACAATTCATTCAGGTGAGACCATCCCAAATTAGGAAATAACAATCTGATTGTTATACAATTATTAAAGAAAAGTTTTTATACTTTTTACAATACTTTTTTAGGAAGATCAGGTAGATAATCTTTTTTGTAAAACGACTTAAGTTCACTAAATAAACTTGAAGCTTTTATACTGTACTATTATAATATCAGATGAATCTCTTTGAATCCCTCAACATTCATATTATAATTTATCTACCAAAGTTATAAGTAATTAACAATTACTATATTGACAAGATCTTATTTGTTGAGTAAAAAAAGTGTAAAAAAACTTAAAATAACGATTATTAACGATAATGTAGAAGGAAAAAATTAGGTTGTATAATTTTTTTATTATATGTGTTATATAGAAATCTTTTAGAAAATTGAAGATATATGAATAATAATAACTAACTATATACACGATTTATTAATTTTACCATTATAAAACTCTTAAGATATAAGCTTATATATATATATGATGTGTATTGACCCACAAAGGTTTTTTATTAGAATAATAGCCGTGTAATGTAATGTGGTATAGTGTATTATGTTAGAAATTTGATTAGATGTAGAAATTGATGTGAAATTAGATGTAGTTAAAATGTAAAATTAAAAAAATTAAAATATATAAATTATTGAGATTTTTTTTGTAAATAAATACTATTGAAAAGTTGATATTCTTTTTAAATTAATAAATACATGCTTACTTATCAACAACAACATTGGGCGGTATTTGTTTTGAGCTTTAACTAGAAATTTTAATTAAATTTCTTTAATTTCATTTCTTTTTATTTTACTATTTCTATTGGTTAATTGGCATGTGATATTTTTCACATGACAAAAATTTATTGTAAAACATATAAAAAAAATTGTTTATCAATTGTGTGACAATCAGGTGACTCAGGTAAATATTTCCTAATTTGGGATAGTCTCACCTGAACAATTCATGGACACACTTATTTGCGTGAGTAATACAAACCCTAAAAAGAAAATGGCCAATCGGAGTTCACAAAATTTGATGGTTCCAGATCAGCTCGACATGAATTCCGAACATGTGCGAAAGAGTAAAAAAGCGAAAATACTCAAAAACTAGTGCTTAAATCAACCATGATGCACTAATCAAAAATGTCTGGAACGAAATTTTACATATAGCAAGCAACAATATATTGTTATAGCCGCTAATGTTAACCCCTAAACCTAAACTTCTATCTTTACGCACTTAGTTTATTTACAAAATTCTATTTTCTTTTTGGTTTGTGTTACTCACGCAAATCAGTAAAACTCACAATTCATACGTTCTTTCATTTTGATAACATTGTTTATACTAAAATAGAAGTAAATGGTGCTTAATGGACACTCTGTAATGTGAGCACACTGAAAAATTTGTGTATATACCAGGAAAATTGTGTATTCGTAGTTGTCAGTATCAACATCGAAAATTTTGCATGAACATTGAAAATACTGTGTAAGCATTAAAATTTTGATGTCTACATTCTAAAAAATAAAAATGAATATAAGTGCTCAAAGTTCAA